CTTCTAGCTTTTGATCTCGCTCATCACGGTATGTTACGTAAGTATCTTTCTGCATGAATCTGATCAAACAAAATGCTGTAAATATGTACTTTAGGAGTCGATTTCACTTTCCGATTCAATTGGCTTCGATAGAATAGTTGCTTCTGTCATCTAATTTGGTGACAACGTCTTTTCAAGATGAGAAACGCGGTATCAACGTGGGAATGCTGCTGATTGAAGAGCTGCTTGGAGGGTTTCGCTATTGCATTTGCCTATGTATTGAGCTCTACTCGGGTCGATCTGTCCTGTTTGTTCTTGATGTTGGAAGCAAGACATACCAAAAGGGTCCACCGATAAGTGCGATAATGGTTGTTGAAAAGTGATGTTGCACATGCTTATGTCGATAGCATTTTGACTTGCTCAGTATATTCATTCCCACCTTAATACGGGGGTTTTCATCTTTAAAATGTCTTGCTTCCGAATCGGACGACGGTACTATATTTTCTGTCGAATCCAACTGTATGGGAAGCTCCCAAAATACATATTTGCAGCTTTTATTACACGAGATCAGCGCAAAAGATGCCTGTATAACATACGTTGATGTGCGAGAACATAAGCTAGAAGACTAATCGACAGAAGCAACATCGGACGACTGTGAGAGCGGAACTGCTGTTATCAATCTTCCCCCGGTGCGGCGGGCTCCATGCTCTTGCCATTCTTTCAAACACCGCGCTACGGCACGGGAATATGACTTCGTGGTGACACACGTCAGCGTGGCGGAAAACAACTTGATGTAGTATCAATCACTGAAACAGACGATCTGCTGACTAACGAGTGCGCTGCATATGCATCCCGCTAGCAGCTACCGTTGTGAGCTGTCCTTAATATAATGCATGAAAGTTGGTACAACCGTTGCATATTGGTGCTGCGTTGCAAAGGAGTCCGAACCGCGACGAAGCTACCGTTAATACACCATGCGCGACATTTCGCTTGGCTTGTTAAGTGACTTTATATTTGTGGAATGAATATGACCGACACAAATTGATTTCTTGAATTGCCACATCGACTTATTGATGGCCAACATAATGCCCAGAAAGCAAGAAAAGTTCTGAGAGAACTGTACCGCTTTGAAATCAACTTGTTAACCAGCATGGTGCCAGCGACGCTGTATAACTGATGAATAATTATCAACGACCAACAGTGATTGTCTAAGCATTCAGACTACACCAGGATAAAAATCTGAAAAAAAATGATTTTTCTTCCTCATGGGTCCGACAAGTTTCATTCATCGTGCGGTAGAAGACAAAAGGCGAGCCAAAACTGCAAGTCTTGAAAGACAGGATGCAGGATCTTGCGCAAATGCTTGCCGAAGGTGACAAACGACTTGATTTGCGCTACGTCGATTCGCTGCGAGTGAATCGTTATTGGGTGCGGCTTCATCGGTGGCTTGGGTGTCCACAGAAAAGTGGTGGTGAATGTCGGCGTTATGAGCAATAGGATTTTGAGCTTTCACCCGTATTTCCGCGCTAGGCTGTCTTGCGAGTCGTCTGGAAGCTAAATTTGCGGGTGAAGGCACCGTTGATTACAATCCACTTCAGTCATGTCAAAGGAGCGAAGATCTTGGCTAATGTAAGCCTGAGTAAGAGGTATCGCAGTTCTTGATACAAGTCTGCAAATATCTGTTGATGTCTCGTATTTTGCCTGCTGCTGGTGCGCTCATACGTCTGGTCCTTGGAAGACACCAGCGTCGGTATCTGAAAGTGCACTTGTATGAGTGAGGTCAAATCAACACCTTTTTCAGCTTCATGCTCGCATCCCAGCTATAGATACTCGTGCGCGATATTATCTTTGAGTTTATTACTTGCTCCAAAGAGGCTTAACGCCGACACCGTGTTCGCTGTGTTGATGTGCATCCGAGGCAAAAAGAGCACGATTTATTCCTAGGTGTTGTGTGGCGTATTCTGTTCGCATTGAGATTTTTTTTCAAGTAGTCCGATCGCAAATGAAATTTGTTTGACGGAAGACAATTATTGGTCGCGACCCATGAAATTTTCTCGACACTTTTTGCTCGTCGTCAGTGCTTTTAGAGTCTCTAATATAAGGAAGACAAAGTTGAAAGTCAGCTCAACATCTTGTGGGAGAGATTTAAGCCGCTAGGATTCAGCTTTCTATATCACGATGTGTTTGTAGCTATCAAACCCTGTTTGGGATCGGGTACTGTATATCTAATTACACTTTGGGCTTCTTCTGTCAGTGGGACCTCCAGCCCACCCAACTACACACACCCATTTAGGTCGGCATGATAGACACAGTTTTGGGGTTTGGTTGCTCGTCCAGTTTAGTGTTCAGTTTTCGGCTACCTTAAATCGGACCATACGGGTATCAAACTAAATACCTCCCGATCCCAGGTCAAGTGACTGACCATTTGAGCCAAAGAGTCGGTCGAAGTTTATGACTCACTCGGTCTTTGGTGACAAAGCTAGAGATATTACATTCCAGGATTTACCAGTGGGTGGGTAACTGCATAGCAATTTTTATGGAAGCACTATCAGAAGTATCAATGCTGGCAGCCGTTGAAAAATTTTCTTGCGCCACTCGTCACATTGAATTTTTCCAGCTTCCGCTAAAGCGACACAGTTGGTGCCCCTTGCATTTTGTATCCTCAAAAGTCACTCTGCCCTAGCCAGCTTCGCCGCCCGGAAGTCAGACCAACCGTATAAACTGAAAAGTCTTCGTCTTGGTTTAAATGAAGGCAGATCCGTAAGCGGTGTCAGGTGGAAAAATCAAAATGTTTTTGGAGGAATGTTGATGGTGTTTGATGGCAGCAGAATAGCTACGGACCGTGCCAGCAGCCCACTTTAATGCAGACGTTATTATTCCTAGGCAGCCTCGCCTCATAGAGGTCAGTCTCCACTCAGCAGGCTGACTTTTGTCTGACTGCACCCTCGCATTTTCCCTGAAGCTGGTGACACCTGGCAACTGCTTCACATAGTCACCAAATATCGGTTTTTGCAAAACCACGAGGAGAGTCGTTTTTCTCAAATAAGCGACGGTGTAAGTACCGAAGGAGAGCAACAAATGTCGTTAAAGATACCTGGTCGCATTTATATACCGGGTCAGCTGTATTATGTCAAACGTAAAGTGGCTGTGGTCGGACCAGATGGAAAAGATGATGATACTGCGGTGTGTGTACCACACATCTTCGACAACATCTTCACAAAATTCCATTCATCATGTACGAGTACATTGCGTCACTTGTCACGCTAAATGAGAGAGGACCAGGCCGCCCGGAGAGCTCATGATACAGATAAGATGAGAGTCAGGGTCATAACCCACTCATAATCGACGTTGTTTCATCACAAGTGTAATGGGGCTACACATACTCTGGTAACAGGGGGGGGTGTCACACCAGATGGGCATGGTGTGACCACACCCAAACAGGAATACGGTACGGGGCAGTAGTTCTACATATATTTAAATTTTACTATACATATTTGGGAGAATGTATACATTTAAAATTAGGCGGGTTTGTCGCAGATAAAAATAAAAAAAGTCAGTTTTGGATTCAAACGGAAGATTTAACCAGCCTCGGGTTATGGCAATAATTACTCTTGAGGATAGCGGATTGCGATCCGCTAAACTCGTAGTTGTTCTAAGTATAGAATAAAAGGTCGGTGACCTAACTTACGCTGCTCAACGCGTAAAGCTACGGCGGCCCCGCTGCACTTGGTAGCACTTGTAGTCAATCTACACCTGAGCCGTTTAGACTGAT